GCATCAGTGACATTTTTATAAGCATGGCTGTGATACCAGGTGTGCATATATACACACACACACACACACACACTCTTTAGGGCTTCTGAATCAGTATAGAAGGTGTTATCTGAAAAATATCAGAGATTCACAGGGAGGCAACAGCAGGGCCTTCAGAAAGGCCCTGGACAACCACATTCCTTCAGTGACATGGTGCTTTTCCATCCTACCTATCTGTTGCTTTTACACATAGGTTTGTTCCAAAGTCTGGAAAAAACCAAAATTTTTATTTAACTTTAAATTTATTTTTTTTTAAGAAAAACATCTTTTTCTCTGTGTATGTTTTCTCAGATACATCTCTTCGTATATGTATATTTAAAAGGATGACACGGCAGATCTTTAAAAATAACTGCAATCAAGGATAATAAAAATCTCTTAACACCAAGTTAAGTTTGCTTACTAGTAATGTACGCACTTCCCAGAGCTGCTAGATCATGAAACAGAGACTTTAAAAAATCTTCTAAAGTCAACTTTGACTCAGTTACTCTGAAAGATGTAACTGGTCATACAGTGGAAGAACAGAGCTAGATATCTAAATTTGCAGTTATTTATACAAAATGTTTTGCAACTTGCTGCTTTGTGGGCCACAAACATTCAGTCAGGATCCGTGACTGGGTTCCCAGATAAGAACCACCTCCTTCTTGCTTGCCCCATCAGCTGTGGTCTCCTCATTCTGTGGTGCTCATGACCCCACTCCAAGCAAAGCTGGAGGGACACAGGGCAGGGAAAAGCCCATAACAAGGCAATATACCTATACTTTTTTTTTTCTCTCCAGACTTCTGCCAACAGCAGAGATAAGACTTCTTGGCTGGCTGCAGCTCACATTCATGCCTCCCAAAGTCACCCTAACTACATGAACAATTAAAAGTAGGTGTGTTCATTCAGCCCTGTTCCTCCTCCCACCCTTACAATACCCACATTATCAGGAACAGCAAAATCCAGAGAAAGAAGGATTTTTAATACTGAAGAGTTTCAATGTATTCTAACCAATGAAATAACTCTAACAGAAGGGAAAAAGAAGCTCTAATCAGAGATCTGAAGCAAAAAGAGAAATGCAGCAACAAGCAAGAGGATGAGGTAGAGTTTTACATAGCTTGAAAAGGAGGCAAAGAAACACAAACTGAGACCTCAGAAGAGATGTTGAGAAATAATTTATTTTTTAAAGATTTTATTATTATTGATACGAGGTGTTGAGCCTGGAAGCTGCTGGAGGACTCCAGAACAACCTTGTAGCAAAGAAGAAATACACAAACCATAGACCAAAGAATAGCCCATCCTTTAAGAGGAGAGTAAAAAAATTAAATAAATAAATCATTGGTTCATGCTACAAAAATCCTGCTTTATTCAAGGAAGGCTATCCTTTAGGTGAATTCTGTGCTAAGGAAGGGAAGAATATTCTGCAAGGAACAGACACAAGTGAGCAAGAATCCACCTACTAGCATGCTAGGAGAGCTGAAGAAGAGATTCCCCATGATCACCTTGGAGATCCTTCCTGATCCATAAGAAAGATCTTCAATATAAGTCATCAGCAGATTAAATGGTGCAAATAAATTCTGATTTATGGAAGATAGCTCATCTTTTATTGGCAGTTTAATGACCTGCGTCTTAGTAAAAGGGAAATGAAAGTACAGGAGATCATGCAGCAAGCAGTCAGAAATACGTTTTTAAAAAAGCAAGGTGCTTGCTTATCCATTTGGTTGACAAAAATGACAAAGTTGCAAAATATCTGCCAAACAGAAGTATTTTTGAACTACAAAGGTAAAACAAACACCAAAAAAAAAAAAGCACCTTATCTTGTTTGAGTAGAAACTACATGTATTGGGTGCTACTGAAGCTAGAAGAATCGGATACATGGCTGGACAGATCAACAGTTACTTATTCAGAAAGAAGTAACTGAACCCTCAGACAAGGAGGAGGGAACCGGCATTAATGATTTCAATTGTTGAAGGTCTTCCTTTGCCATTACCAGCCCACATGCTCAAAGCCTGACATGTTATCAGATAAAGCTACTGCAGTCTAAACAGTACGTGCTATACTGCACAGAAATCATAACAGAGGGTAAGAAGGCTGATTCCTCAGGTGCCCATATAAAATACCGGAGGAAGCTCTGTCAGCATTATTCCATCCTGAATGTCATTCACTGTATCTCAGACCTCTAACCGTAGAAGTCACCTCTAAAATTTCTAGTCAACCATTTCTTGAACTTACTGTTACAATCCAAGCAGGGCAAGCCTGTTCAGTTTCATCTGATAAAGAAAAACTTTCACAGAACTCCACACTAATTAAGACGTAATCATTTCAATCACATAAGAATATGCAGCTTAAAGTGCAGACCAGTGAAATAGCAGTGACTGTAAAACTGGCTAATTTTTAGAAGTGGAGGACAACTGTAAATCAAACCAGACATCAAACAAGCTGGAAAGAAAATGTAAGTTATATGTTAACAATTTAATCTGATTCACAGAAGTCATGGGGCATTCAACAAAATAGCCAGGGTTATAGAAAGTGAAAGTAACCCTATGGGGAAAAAGAGGGGAGAAAGTTAGATGTAAAGAACAAATCTGTGAGAAGTAAGCAACCAAAGGAGGAACTGAGAAATCCATGGCCAAAAAGTTAGGGACATCAGGAATTATATAAGAATGTGGAATCCAGATAATAGTACTCAACCATTCCTAGATGAAAGCAGCAAACACGGACAAAGCATTCTGTTCCAAATTTGTCAAGAAAGCCTGCTTATACAGACAAAATAGTAAGACAGTTCATATGAATTTAAGAAACAAGGCGTGTAATTCAGTAATTATTAATTTATCAAACTACATCATGTCAAATCAATTGCTCAGATTTCAGTTTTAGTGCTGCAACAGCACCTTGATGAATAAACTTTTCAAAAGGTACCCAGTCCCACATGTCACTTTGCCTAATGAATTCTAATGCAAAATTATCACGAAGTGTGAACTGGTTCAATAACAGACCTCACAACGTAACTACAATGTCACTCAAGAGATACATTTGTCATGGAGTGCTGCAGGAATCACTCTGGTCCTGTATAGCATTTTATCGATAACTTGGAAGAAAACAGAGGTCTTTGAAGATAATAAAGGATTTGAGATAGGATGCAGAAGAGGAGAATCGGAAGGAAAAATAAGCTGCTAACACAATGAAGCAGAATTGTTTCTCACACTCAGCACAGATAAAGCATTTGACAATACTGTAAAAAAAAAGACAGTGCACATTCAGAACAGGATATATGTCACAAAAACAATCTTGGGAAGACGACCTTCAAATCATGACTGAAATGACACAGTTTTATAAAAAAAACAGCAAGACTTCTACGGGAAGCCGCATGCTGCCATCTAGAGGAGACTGGCCAGGAGCAGGTTTAATCCTGTTTTTTACAGCCAGCTTCAATTAACAGTCAAGTCAAAAGGGGACTATTAAATTCCAATACACAAAGATATCATCAAATCCAACACCTCTGGACCAAAACCACAAATCCTTTAACTTTAATGAACAGATTTTTCTTCTTGTTCTCTCACTTATCTAAGGCTGCTAGAGAAAAGAACTTGAAGACAGTATTAGGAAAAACAGTCCTGAGAAGCTTTGTTCAAACTCCACATCTGGTTTTCTGTGAAAATTTTCCTAAGATAAATGTTTATTATGACACACAAAGCACTCCATGTATTATAGCCTAAAGGAAAACATACTTCAGTGACAAGAAGTTACAAACATGGAGAGCTTTCATAAAGCTTGAAAATTCAAGATTTCTTTTACTATAACCTAAAGGTTACAACTGTTGGACCCCAGATAGTTCACTGTTTGCTCACTTTGCCTTCTTTCTGTATTTATTTGCTCTCAGTAAAAATAAATGGAAATGCATGCAACAAATATTGCTAAGGAAACAACCACCTTGTTAGCTTTGATGTAACTCAGGCTCTGCTTAAATTCCATTTAGCAGGATGAAGCTGTCTGACATTTAAGCCTACAGCTTAACTGAGTAAGCCAATCATCAGCCAATCTTTGTATTTGACTCAGTTTTACCTTGTTATAGTTTAATGTCTACTCCATTAAATGCTTTACACAGTCTTAACAGATGTTAACACTGAAAGTAAAATAAACTTGTAAGGAGTGTGTCAAAATAAGCTTAATGACAGTCAGGAAGACTCTGAATGTCTATTACTGCTTTTTGTCATCCACTGAAAGGCAGGTGAAAGACCTGCAAGTTTTAAAACTTTTGTTGCTTTGTGTAGCCCAAGAGTACCTGCAACTAAGGTCCACGCTAGAGCAAAATTCAGCATCAAAATTTAACGTGTCGGTATATACCAAAACACTCTTGAAATCCGCAAAGCTGGATCAACCTTTAAGAACAGAGTCCTAAATGCAATGGCGAGCTCTCCTCCACCATCAAAAAACAATAAAAATTGGCTGTTTGTAAGTGGGATGAAGGTCAACTTCAGTACTCAATGACATCACCTCCTGCCACAATTGAGTGTAGAAAAAAGTAACAGCTACAGAAGCAGAGAACAGCATGAACACTAAGTGACATGGGAATCCTATACACAAGTGAAAGTTTCACTGTGGAGGTAGTGCGTGAAGTTTGACAGAAGTACTGCCACAAGTATCTGAGAAACAGCTTTAGCATCTGAGTGGGAAATTAAGAAAGGTGACCCCATTTATATAAGGCAACATTAAGTCAGGAACAGAAATCTACGTGGCACTAGACAACACCACGTTGACAGAAGACCTCGTTATTTCTGCTAAGATGTTTCCCCCATGCAGACTGGCTGTAAGTTAAGAGATGTAAGCTCTCTCTCTCTCATCCTGTTTTGGAAGGTCACTAACTGTGACTGTCGGACACTTGCCAAATCTGCCAACACGCTTCTCCAGCTACAAATGTACCGTGAGCGCACACTTCAGTGGGAAGATTTGCAATGCAGTCAGTCACATCTGTGTACAGCACTTACATTCATCCAGTCCCAGCTGATAAGCCAGGTTCTGCAGGCCACGAACTTTTTCCATCAGGTTAGCTGTAGTGAGGCTCCCCAACTCTAAGAAGAGAGAAAAGTGTGAATTTTAACACTGTCTACAGCCCTCTAGTGACAGTTAACCTGTTTTACTTTCAAGTCATACTTCTGGCAAGATCTGTTTCCAGTGAACAGAGTATGTTTGAAATTCAAGCTGATGCCACCCCTGATTTTAACATACTGAGAAAAGACTGGCTTTCTCTACTGAAAAATACAGCCACTGATCTGGCTCATACTGTAATCTGCCACCATTGCAATGAGAAACTTGCCCCATATTTTGGAAGTTCACATCACTATATGAACAAGCTACAAAAAAGTATGCAAAAGAATGGACTTACTGTACATTACTAATGTGTGTTAAAGCACATTTCTTGCACCAAGTCAAAGTTAATTTGTCCCAATTTGACTTTGGAACAGTTTACCTGGAATTCACACGAAAGGCAAAGGATGCTCAAGGACGTTTACTGCAAACTAACAGCTGTAACATGCAGCAAATCTACATGCTAGCTAACCCTTCTGTAACTTGCTCATACAGCCTTACCATTCTATTAGAGATCTTGGATCTATGAGTGGAGACACATGCATAGAGCATCTCTGAACACGTCAATCAGCAAGTCTAAACTGCTCACCAAGTCTGATCAGCTGAGGCCCACTAAAAAAAATTCATGCCACTTCTCAAAATACAGGAGACACCCACCATACTTATGCAGTGAGAGACTGGTAAGCAAGGTAAGTGATACATATGTAACGTTACACTGCTTCAACATATTCTTGCATGCTTGTTTTGAAAAATCAGCCTGACATCTGGATGGTCTCTTGGAGATAACTGGGTTAATGAAAAATGTGTACCATTAACAAGATAAGGAGACTCCTTGAGTTGGCCATTCTGCAAATATGAGAACTAGAGATCTGAGGCCACAGGGCCGTCTCCAGAACACTGAAAGAACACGTGTTTTAAGCCTCTTAAGTAAGTACTGAATTCCCATCTGCTTTGGCAACCTTACTTCCTACCCACAATGTCCATACTCACCCTTTAACATATCGATATCATCGTTTTCTAATTCAGCCATCCACTTGGGAGGAGAACTTGTAATAGGCTGTTTGGAAAAAAAATAAAAGTTCATACTCAGACAAGTGCATTTTTAGAATTATACAAAGGAGTCTTATATTAAAAACTAGTTACACTGACAGCAAAAATATGAGAGTTCCAGGTGCTCTATAAAGATATTTTTATGTATAATCTTGTTTGCTAGCTTTCCCTGGACTTTTTAGAGTTAAAAAGGGCACAATACCACCCACAAGCCAAAGTCAGTAGGAAAAGGGGGATTTCCTAAAGTTAAAAACCTGGTATTTCTTCCAAGGTGTAATTCTCATTCACAGTAAGTTGCATAAGGTATAAAAAAAAAAAAAAAATAAGAGAGAGATTAAAAACGAAAGGCTTATGCTAGCATATCCCGAAGTTATAATTGAGATACGCTTCACAGAACAATGATGCAAAGCTCAGGAGAGGAAACGGCAGGTCTAGCGCCACAGGGAAGCGGGGGAAGGTGGAGAGCAACGCAGCCATCACTCACGCTTTTGAAGGAGGCGGCGAACTCGGCAACGCCGGGCACTGGGGAGAGAAAACGAAGGGCAGCGGGGGGTGAGCGCCTTGGCAGCACCCCAACACCCCCACCCCGCCCGGCCCCGTGGACCGGGCCCGGCCCGCGCAGCTGCC